GGAGTTTCCTTGCTTTCCGAGCCGTTCAAGGCGTTGGAGCTGCTTGTACATATTCTGCTACCTCTGCGATAATGGCTAGGTGAGTATGAATGGAGTATCTATGATCACAGCTGCGAGGATCCCGGACAGGTTGTTCCCGGGAGATATAGAGAAGATATTCGCCTTCCAAGAGCTGATAGGGAATGTTGGTTTTGCCGTTGGCCCGACTATCGGTGACTACTGCACGCATGAGATTCGGATTGAACAAGTCTTACTCAGGTGCTGGCCTATTCCAAGTGGGTGGCTTCCACACCTCCTTTATTGTGCTCACTGCTATTCATTTCGGTGTCATGGTATGTTGATATTGTCTTGCTCTTTGTGATAAGATTCATGTCAGGTGCTGATGCTAGCCACATGGGTTCCGATACCCCCGGCTGCCTCATTGCCGACTAGTGATGGTGCTGCTCAGAGTGGTCGGAAGGTCGTGGGAGTGAGCGAAGTGAGTTTTGAACATCTCGTCTCCACTTGTCATACCCGTTTCCGTTCTCTGCAATGTTCTATCCATTTCCAACTTAGATCCATGATCACATCCGTGATACTTTCAATGAGAATCTATAACTCCATTAATCTAGAATCTTCCAAAAATGCGGTTAAGCTAGGTTCTACGAGGCTCTTGTCAGGTGCTCCGTATGCGGCATATTCTAATCACAGTTCTCTGCAGTGCGCTAGTCAGCTCAGCCTTCGGGTTCATGGATCCAGTAGGTTGCCTCTTCTCCCCTCTCTCCCAGGGTCTTTCTCCAGGTTCTCTCAGAGCACTTCTTAGCTGTATTGGGTGACGTTTCACCATCTACCATGGGTCTCCTCTTTGCATTCCCATCGGTTACTATGGCTATAGCTACAGTACTTATACCCAAGTACGTCATATCGTTTGAAGTGATCATGACTTTAGCTGATTCGGGTCCGACGTGAACGAAACTTGGAGATTTTTTCCCCAATGGGTCGTGCATATGTTCTTTGATCAGGACAACATCACTTCTCACGAAACAC